TGTGGAACTCAACCTTCCCCAGCGAAGAAAAACTTGTTCCATTGTTCAAGAGGGTGAAAAACCCATTATCTCCCCCCTCCACTTTGCGCGCTGCCTCTGCCGTGATTTACTGCGAGGCGTGGAGGATGTTGTGCTCTATATTACACAGATGCAGCTTAATAGTGTGGGGGAGGGAGCGGGACGCGGCGTCCAGGCTCCTGCCTTCTCGGTTTTCTTGTTGATCTACCGGGTGACTCGAGGGAGACAGCTCCATGCCGCAATTTCCTCAGTAGAAAATAAGGATGCTGGTCATTCAGCCTTGTAAAAGTGCTCCGAGATTCCTGGGTGACCAGCTCTGCAAGGGAAAGCAAACTCCTGTTATTGCGGCTAATATAATGATAATTATGATTATTAATCACCAGGCAGCCAGGATTTGAGGTTGGCCTCCTGCCCTCCTCTCATCCCATAAATCAGAGCTGGATGTTCACGGACACATCACGTGGACAAGGACGTGGCTGATGACACAGGCATGTGCCAGCTCCAGAGCCATCCCCAGAGGGCATCGGGTCCCTGTGTGAGCAGAGGGGACCCCTGGGGCCTTGGGGACCCCTCTGTCCCCATGGCTGGGCCCAGGGCTATGGAGAAGCAGCCATGAAGTCCTGCGCTGGGCTTGGTGCTGAGGCCATTTCATCCACCATTTCTCCATCCAGTGGGTCTCATCCCAACACTCAGCTCATGGAAGAGCCTCTCTTACCAAACCTCCTCCCTTCCAGTCCCCTCCGGGCTCTCCCCGTGCTCTCAACTTGTCCTCGCTGCATCCTCCCTCCAGGCTCCTTTCAATTCCCCGAGCTTCTCCAGGACTTAAGCATATGCTTGCAGTTAATCCCGTGCTTACATTTTATCCCAAATAGGGAGAATTGGGGTCTCTGGGCAAATTCTCCTGCTGTTCAAGGCGGCTGAAGGGCTCCCTCTAATTCAACTGCTCGGTAATCCTCTCGCTCGCCTTCCTCTGCTCCCTTCCTCCTCCCCTCTTGCACCTTGCCTCCTCCTCAGAGAGCCTTTCTGAGGCTTAAGCCATGGGAAACCACCCAATTTCCAGGGAAAAGGAGACTCAGGCCCTCCCCCTCAACCCCCCTGCTCCCCATCCCTGCACCATAAATTCATAAAAAGCCACCTGTGAGCACCCAGCCTGGCTGCAATCAGAGCCGTGTTTGGCTGACGGGAGCCAGGGGATTACAAATAATAACAGCAGGAAGGAAAATATTTGCACTTTGCTGGGAGTTATAACCCAGGGGCTACAGCAGGTTGGGGCTGGAGAGCCCGGAGCACCCGGGAGTGGAACCTGCGGGACCTGGGAGCAGTTGGGAGCGGAGGAGAGGCCCGATGCTGGGAAAGGGGCTGTGGATTTGGGCTGGCAGGTTCCCTGGGAGCCGGGAGACACCCGCCTGCACCCAAGCGTGCCGGCTCCGTGCTGCCGCTGCCAAGGGAAATGTTTGTAAACGCAGGGACGGTGTCTCTGCAATTAGACCCAAACTGCAAATGCAGCCAGAGGGCGATGCTTGGGGAGGAGAGCGGTGGCAGTCCCCAAAGCTCCTTGTGCCCAGGCAGGTTGTCCCCCGATGTGATGCAGGGGTGAAGGGACCTCGTGCCATGGGAGCAGGGGGGATGTCCTGCCTGGTCACCCCCTGAGCATGGCCCTGCACATCCCGCTTCTCCTTCCAGGAGCAGGAACATGGGGAAGGGGTTTTTACAAGGGGGAGGTCTCATCCGTGCCCACCGCTCCAGATCCCAGTGAGTTTTTCCTTCCAGTCTTTCACCATGGTGCTGGTGGTATTAAAGCATCCCCAATGGTTAAATGCGCAGCTGAAGTTAACCCTGGTGAGCCTGTGCTCTGGGCGATGCTGGGTGGGGGCATTTCCCCCTGTGGATGCCACCACGATGGCCGAGACACCTTGTCTAGGAGCTGGATTGGGGCCTTGGGGCTGTCACTGGAGCAGCGCCTGATGCCACAGCGGAGCCACCGGCAGCAGTGGGCTCTGTATTTGGGGAGAAGGAAGTGCATCCATCGTGGATGGGATGCCAGATCCCTGGCCAGCGGGGTGGCATTGGGACAGGGGAGAGACCCTTGGCATCATCCCCCTGTGTCCCAGGGAGGCTCAGCTCCCGGCTGGAGACATCCATGCAGGTGATGAAGATGGAAAGATTGGAGGAGAGAAGCTGAACATGCCCTGGGCAGCGCCCGCCGCCGCGGCACCAAGCGGAGCATCCTCTATCCCGCACATCCTGGTGCGGGAGCAGCCGGGGCCCCACGTGGGATCGTGGCCCCCGCAGTCCTTGAGCCGGGCCGGGCGCGCAGGCTGCAGCGCACACGAGATGGATGGTGCCAGGCTGCAATCACTCAAGGTGCTGCCGCAGGGACCGCGGCGAAGGGCAGCGCGGGGCCCGCGCGGCGCTGCGGGGACGGGGCGCTGGCAGCTCCTCTCCTTGGCAGCGCAGCCTTCCCGGCGCGGCAGAGCGCGGAGAGGCGCCCGCCAAGGGCCTGGCAACGCGCTCCTCCGCCAAGTGCTCCGAGCCGAATTGCTTTTCAATCTGCAGTAATTTTCTCCTTGCTGCATATCAAGGCCTCGGAGGAGAAAAGGCGTCAGGTGGAGAGGGAGCTCGAGGGGGTTGGGACTGTTCTCTCCATGCAAGTGGCCCTGGGTGTCCCCGCCATGCTGGCACATGGGGACATGGGCAGAGTCTGGCCTGGGGATAGAGGGGCAGCTCAAACTGCACCTGAGCCTGCCCAAGGTCCTGCTGCTGGGGACCTCCCTGGGACACCCCTGGGGAGCAGGAGCGAGAGCTGGTGTCCGGCTGGGACCCATGGGTGTCCCACGGGACGTATCCCTGTCCAGGCTGGGACCCATCCAATGGGGATTCACACGGTGGGGAACAGGGGGTCCCTTCCGCCAGGGCCGTGCTGGGTGACACAGCGCGTCCCTGCTCCAGGGCTGGCGGAGGGGACAACGGCGGGGCTGGCACAACTGGGTGTCCTCAGGGCTGCAGCCAGCCCCAGCCTATACAGGGGACCGCAGCGGAGACGAGGGGCTGGGGGGGGGCTTCAGAAGCCGCGG